TTTCTCAAACCAATTAAAAATAACATTTCCTTGAAAATAGAATCTTAGCAGATGCAATTTTATAAGAAGGATGTAATTATTTGGAAAATGTTAGAAGAGATATCTTGTTTCTGTTGATCCCCAAACAATAGTTCAGATAAATCAGACATAATGCTGGTCTCTTTCATGATTGAGGTTTAAGTGTGGAAATTTGTCCCTGTTGGGGTAGCACAGTGGTGTGGTAGTTAACATCCCTCACAGTGCTGGGGGCCTGGGTTCAATTCCTGGGGTGCCATCTGTATGGAGTTTGTATGTTCTACCTTTGTTTGCATGGATTTGCTCTAGGTGCTCTGTGCTCCTCACACAGTCCAGACATGCTGGTAGGTTAATTGGCTTCTGAGAAACTCGACCCTGGTGTCAGCCTGAGAGTGTTTGTGTTTGAGTCTGTGTGTGCCCTGCGACTGGCGGCCCATTCAAGGTGTGTCCTTGCCTTGTGCCTGCTGCTTGCCAGGGTAGGCTCTGGCTCCCTTGTGACTGTATTGGAAAAAGTGGTTAGAAAATGGATAGAAACATCTATCTGCATTCACAGAACTGGTAACGACACACTAATTTCTCTTTGCCTTTCCTTGTCCATCTGGGTAAGAGTTCGTCTTGGATTTTTCTTCAAAATGCCTTCAGAGAAATTCCCCCACCGTTTCTTTTGTGTGAATCTCATTCTCATATTTCGGATTTACACGAAGCAAGGAAACACGGGAACAGAATTTAACCAACAAACAAGAACAAAAGTACCAAACGGAAGCACTTGTTGTATTTTCAGGTAACAGCACCTCAGACGCCTGCGCTGAATTCCGGGTGAAGTATGTTGGTGCGATAGAGAGACTGCAGTTCGAGATGTGCAGGACTCTGCAGGAGCCTCTGGAGTTGATAAACTATATTGATGTGGCACAGGTAAGAGCCTGGCGGAGTTGGCTCACTGTGGTGATCTACATGATCTCTGGGGTACCCTGGGATGGGCGCAGAAGTCATAAAGATATAGGCCAGGGACTGTTCACTTGAGGTGCTCTTCCTGCTATGAAAAAGACAAACATTTAACCAGTATCAAAAAAATAGTTTCTCCAGGGAACCCTCTACTGACAGTTTAAGAAATATTAGCCTAAGATAAATCCAAATTGTGTAACAGCATGCAGGCGAGAATACCAAACACCACAAAGGCTAGACCAAGACGATTTTTTACTCCCAGTCCTGGAGGGTTATCATGGCTAACTTGTCACACTCAAGTGTGGAAAAAGACCTGGAAGGAGTGGAAATATAGATCTCGTAACTGCATATACAGTATCATTCAGATGAAGCCATTAAGAGTCTGGAGTGGAATGAAAACCAGGAACAGACGTGAGTATCGGGGCCAAAAGTACCTCAAGCTTCTCCCCTGACTGCTGTGATGGACAGCTCTGACTCCTTTTAAACCTGAGCCGAGTCAGGGCCTCCATGACACAACGTGGAGGAACAACAAAGAAGAAGGATTGTTCTGGATCCACAAGACACAAAGCACATACAGAGTACCACAACTAGTACCGCAGCAAATCGTACAACACCAGTCCACAATAACACAGTGATATCCTGACTTAAAAATATCTTGTGAGCAAGTGAGTAGAGATGATGAAAGACCTCCTCTGGGGTCATACAAGGAGGGGAAAGCACAGGCCATCCCACCTTTTTTTTGTGTTTTCACCGATCATTGATCTGGCTTAAAAGGAACAGTGACAAAAAAAAATCCTTAAACAGGGTTTCCCACAGGAAGAAGCTTAGGCCTGGTGGTGAGACTGTACCATCGTGGCCGCTGGCTGGCAGACGATGCAGCGTATCGCCACGAAACGGTATTTCCACACGGATTCGTGTGTACATTTGGTCGGCGTCCCCGCCTGGCCTGTTTACAACTGCGGGAAACCCCTGCTGAAAGAATCCAGAGGCAGCCAGTGAAAAACGAGGGGGACCAAGAGTGAGATCACCACACCATCACCACAGTGGAACAGACAGTCCCTCCCCGAGAGGATCACAGGTGCCTGTTTCCACTGACCCCCCCCAAAAAAGTCATTCATTTTTTTTCTTCTCCCTCAAAGCAAGACGGAAAGCTGCCCTTCGTGCCTGCGGATGAAGAGCTCGTCCTCGGCGTGTCGAAGAACGGCGTGAAAGTCTCCTCTGTGGATCAGTGTGTAAGCTGTTCGCCCTGTTGGCCTTCGGGACAGCACGTCACCACGCCCACGTGTTTGAGTGATCCTATCACCTACCAGCTGGAATGCTGCCTCTTCACGGCTTACGCTGGCTACGCATTCCTATCATTTTGCTTTTCCGTTATGTGCTACAAAACACACGGTTTCTGTTTCACTCGAAACGTGTCACGCTAACAGATAACGGGCTGCTCAAGCAGCAAACGACGTTTCCAAGTAATGGCCGGGGCAATCGACCACAAGGAAGCCTGTGGTCTTCTTGTGTGCTGTTCAGTGAGCTCAGGTGAAAACGATTGCTGTCCTGAGAAAGTGGCGGAACTGGTGCGGGCGTTTGCAGAAACGTGCCGTTGGGCACTTTCAGACAGACAAGCCCGCTGGGGGAGGAGGAGGAGGGCTCCAGGGTTTTTTTTTGGCGGGGGGGAGGATGGGATGCAGTCACGATGCACTCAGCAGTCAGCAGCCCTGTCTGTATTAGCGGAGTCCCGCAGGTGGCGCAGCAGTTCTGTAGGGATAGCAGGCGCGCGGCTCTCGCGGAGCGCTTCACCGCTGCCCTTGCCCCGCAGGACGTGCTGCACCGCCACCCCTTGTACCTGATCGTGCGCATGCTGTGCTACGATGACGGGCTGGGCGCGGGCAGAAACCTCCTGGCCCTGAAGACGACGGACCCCGAGCAGGAGCAGTGCAGTATCTGGGTGTACCAGTGCAACAGCTCGGTGAGTCTCTCCCTCGGGGGGGCCTGGGAAAGCCAAGGTTGCTGCTGGAAGAGGTGCTAGTGGGGGCCAGTAGGGGGCGCTCACCCTGTAAAGGATTTTCATGAGGCCTTCTAAAAGCCTGACTCTCGGAGGAAGACTCCAAGCTTGGGGTAGCTGCCTCTTAACATGACCACAGTCCCGTACATCTGAAAAGGGAACCTGAACAGTAGGCCTTAGGATCTGAGACAGACCACAGCTTTGCCAGTTTGGTCAAATTAACTGGTTTAAAATTGGAATATTTCTTTGAAATTTAACTTTTCAGCTTTCCCCAGCCGGAAGAGCGCAGAGTTTGCATATATGGCTTTACTGCCATCAAGACTGGAAGATGCCCACCTTGCGCTGACCAGGCAACAAGCCTGAATCCTGCACAGGGACCTCTGCTGTGTGCTATCTGGAGGACACCCCCCCAGCAAACCAAGCAGCTTGCTGCCTGTCTTTGCTTTAGTGTCCTCCAGGCTGCCGGACCCCCGTTGTGGGACACAGGCAGGCTCGCACTGTGAGGCCCCCTCATTGTTTGGGAAGAGGGGTAAAAAATACTTTAATGTAAAGAATGGCATGATGGGAAGATGAATCACAGTATGTGGTAAATGCTCCAGATTCGACTCAAGTCGAGAAACAGAGCCAGAGGGTTCAAGTGGAGGAGCACGCACCCTGGGCTGAGGTGAGGCCCCCCTCTCGGAGGGCCTGGACACAGGAGGGGCTACAGCACTCTTTCAACACTGCAGCCCTGGCTAAGACCGACTGTTTGATCTTCAGTTGGTCTTCAGCGTGCGAGTCGGGGTCCTATGGTTTATCTTCACAGGAACAGGCCCAAGCCATCTGCAAGGTGCTGTCCGGGGCCTTCGACGCCGTCCTCGCTTCGGGGAAGTCCTGAAGCTCGTATGAAGGGGGCCGGCCGGCCCTCGGGAGGGGACGCTGGCCGCGGCGCGGGAGTTTGTCCACGCCCTCCGCCCTGCGGCTGAGCGGAGCCACGCTGCGTCTGTACGAACTTTGAGCGAAGCTAATTTAAACTTATTTAATGTAAAGTACCAAACCTCAAGGCACGATTCTCTGTGAGAGCTCAGGCGTCAGGGGTGCCCTCCTCTGCTAAGCCACATGAAGAAACCGTTTTTATCATCACAGCCCTCATAGGAGGCTCCTGGCGCTTTTGAGTGGAAGGTGCCAGGTCTGGGGCACGCTGCCCAGGCTTGGCCATGTGGTCCGGATTTGAAGCACAAAGCCACTGTGATCATGAAGATGCTGTAATTGTGTATTTTTTTTGGTTTGTTATCTGAATGCTGTCATTTTTTTTGCTACACATTTTTTTGTTACCTAGAAACAACTCCGAAAGGTATTTATATCAAACCGTTTTCTCTCCAGGCTCCGTGGGCAGTGTTTTGTTTTTGTTTCCCCAGCCGTTTGTGATGCGTGTTTATACGGTACAGTAAAGAGTGAGATGTTGCAGCTGACCGGAAGCTCTTTTCTTGTCTGATCCATGTTGGCGTTCTGTGTCCAGTTTAGTACAATTAAAATTAGAGAAAAGAAGAAAGCTGTCAAGCGAGAGAAGGCCATTTTGCCCCTCTAACCCAGTTAGTAGCAAATTGAACTCAAGATCTCATCGATATCCTCTTCCAACAGCAGGGCTGGGTAGCCTGTTCCACACTCCCACCACTGTTTGGATAAAGAAGTGTCTACTGCTCTTAGTGTTTATTGACTTCCACACTGTTTACACTTGTGCCCTCTGACTTGTGGAACAGCACAGATAACATTTTTTTTTACCTACAGGAGCTGTCTCCTGAGGACTATGATATCAACACCATGTTGCCGAGCTGTTTTCACCTTCGCTTTAGCAGAGAAACATTGCAATCGTTTTAAAACCTGGTGTTTCAGCAAAGGTTTAGCTACCCATGTTACCCTCTGAGAAGAAAAATATCTGGTGGTGAAGTCAGAATAAATTAACAATATATCAGATGCCAGAAATTATTAGTTGTAATTTATATGATTGCTGGATTATTATTGTTAATTTATTCAGCGGACACTTTTGGCCACAGTGACTTATTTGTGACTAGTGATACAGCTAGGGATTTTACTGGAGCCGTCTGACTGTGGTACCTCACTCAAGGCTACAACAGCAGTGCTCCACCTGAGATTTTAAACAACCTTTATGATACCGAGCCTTAACCACTCCCGTCAAATTCGGCTGTGAATTTTACTTCGATTTAAAAGTCACTTACCAAATTTAAATCATTTTTTCAAAATGGTATTAGCTTTAATTCAAGTACTTTAGTATTTACCATGCTGACATCATATTTTAAATTAACCCAGTTCTTGAACTCCCATTTAAATCTAGTAATGGACCCCTAATGCCTTCAGATCAGTGGTCAGATGTTCACCCCTCTGATCACAACATAGCACTGAACACGCAGCAAAGCATCTGCTTGTTCACCTGAACACTGCAGTTTCACATACAGCATAGAGTAGACCAACGCAGCCCTTTTGTCCTAATTTTCCATCGATACCAGTGCAGATCTGCTCACGGTCCACCACTGCCCAGCAGAGGGCGCTTTTCAACCATTTTCTCCCACATTTCAGAATAGCCACTGGCAGGCTCTCTGTGTCAACTAGGACTCGGAGCAACATAAGTTGCCGGTGCCAGAAGGGTGCCGTTTTCCTTGAATTATTTAAGGTTCATGGAAGGTCTGGCTGTAATGTTAACCAAAACAATGGTTTTGTGCACATTTAATGATTTCTCTTGCACTGTCCACACACTCTGAGAGATACGATAAGATAAGATACTGCTAAATTAAGTTGTTTGTGGGAGAAGTGGCTCTGGTGCGAGTGTCTCCGTGTCTGTGTGTGCCCTGGGGTGGTGTGGCGTCCTGACCAGGGTGTACCCTGCCATGTGCCCCACTGCTTGCTGGGATAGGCTCTGGCTCCCCCACAACCCTGGACTGAAGCAGCAGTTAGAAAATGAATGGATGGACAACACAATTTACAAAAGCAGGAAACACACTTGAGTCTGCAAGTGGGATGCATGTCATATGTTAGGAGAATATCTCACCTGGGTCTATCAAAACAGTGCTTCCTGCAGTAACATGAAACAAGAATGCTTGTAGAAAAAGCCTAGTCTTGAGTTTCTATTAAAGATCAAATAACTGGCAAAAAGCAGTACTGAATTTGTCACATTTCAGCATGAGAATAGACGTCTGGGTAACTGATACCGTTGTTAAAAAAAAAACCTTCATAACAGCATTCAAAGTTAAAAACATAACTTTTTAAAAGCTGTCATGACAATAATGAAAGCAGAGGCCTTACTGATTCTTTGATATGAATAGTATTTTATTTAGTCCAGTTAGTTTCCCATGTATTTGAACAATCTCATTCATTTCGAAGCAGTCTCAGTGATCTAACGTGACCATGAACTCATGCATCCACTGCTCTCAGACCGTTCAATCTGCCTTGCCACACCAACACTGGCTACTTTTCTGCAATCGTCTCTCATCAGAAAGAGCCAAGCTTAGCTCTCCGGGACACACCAACAGTGGCAAACCCGTGTCGATATATTTACAGTAATAGATTCCATTTCCAGTGAGTAAACAGGTCAAATGGGAATAGTGTGGCACGTACATACTGCAGGTTATTACACATGCGTGTTTCAATTTCAGGTCGCTGCAGTCCATATGAGATCAAGGGGATAGTTCATGGAGGATAAAATGTTATTCTATATATATACAGTTGCTCTGCAACCAAAATCAAATTAATTACATTCAATGCTCTTTAACAACAGCCTCAAAATATTTACCTGTATCTCAAGTGGCCACCGGTAGAATTAAAACAGCGTCTAGCAGATTTCGTGGGATATCATTTTAGCTGTGTTGGCGTCACTCATGACTGTTTTCTGTACCGCCTGAGGGCCAGAAAGATACCGCAGGCCCTAAAAGGAGGGGGATATTCAGGGTAGGCGTCCTGTGAAGCTCTCGCAGAGTGGATCCAAACTCGCCCCTTCCCGAGAGCGGTGTCCCGTGCTGCGCTTGCTCACCAGGCAGGAGGCCCCCAAGGCAGACTGGCCCTTTCCTCCCGGCCACACGGCCGCAGGTAGTTCTTGGGGTTTAACCGGTGGACCTGTGCGACGCTGGAGAAGACGGGGATGGAGCGCGGTTTGTCGTTCTGCACTACATCAACTGAAAGTGGTTTAGCACAAAAAATAAAGTCCTTTGGGCTTGGAAAACTGGGCCTGTATTCTATCACGGCAGAACCGTGTGCGAGAAATGGGTTAACTTGGGATTCTTTATCACCGCTGGTTCTGCAACGATGGGCGTGTTTGCCACTTTTGACACGCATGCAAAGCTCCGAGCTTACATGCCAGAGGATATTTAGCATGTTTGCTCCAGGAGGACTTTTCTTCAAGGTGTCAAAGACGTCTTGCCAAGTGGAGGGCACAAAACAACGGACCCAAATCAGCTCTCCAGTGCACTGCACATGTAGGAGACTGCTTTGTGTGACTTGTTAGTCCCTCTTTAGGACTGCTGCAATGGCAACAGCTGTGCTTTCAGTGAGCCATTCTCCAGCATCTTAGTCACGTGTCACCGTGTTTTCAAATCTGTGTGTTTTTCCTGTTCTGAGGAGAGTCAACGAATCACAATCTGAAAGATACAAAAGGACTTCCTGTCGACTGGGGAAAAGAAACAATAAGCCGAGGAAAAAGCATGATTTGCCTCCTAGGAGGTGACCAAAAATTCAATATCGCTGTAAGAGGGAAGCAAGCTGATTTGAAAGGAATGTAAAATGTTCGGGATCTCCCGCCGAGAGCCACTGGTTCTTTGTAGTAAATAAAGGACTGACCTTGTTGGTTTTTTTTAAATCAACCTAGAGCCGAGTTCCAGTTTGAAAAGAAAACGTTCATGTTGTCTGGGTGCAGGATGTGTGAACAACAGAACTGTCCAGATAATTGCCCAGCTGTGTTAGATGATGCCGAACAGGAAGCCGGAGCGCTGGTCTGGCCCGCGGATGAGATGGGGAAAGTGAGCAGCTGCCTTAGTGCCCTTCGTACTGCCCTGTTCAAGCTGGCTGGCTCCCGCACTGTGTCAGAACTCTTCTGTTAGCGACGTTCAATTCTTCCAAGACCCCAGTCAGATAATTTAAGTGCCGTAGTGTTTTCTTTTAATGCAGAACTGGTATAACGCCATCGATTTTTTTTTAAAAAAATTTAACAGCGGTGTTTTTTTCAGCATTCAACCTTGGCACCCATGCTCAGCGAGCTCCTTCATGCTCAGTGTCTCCACTAAATTCAGGAACGGCAGAGCACTGTAGCGAGTCCAAAGGTGGGACATTTCTCTAACTGGTAGACACACACACACACAACGTGACAGGCCGGGATCCTGGAGGTGGGGCTTAAAAACAGCTGTGAATTGTACATTTAAAAAAGGCCATTTGTTATTTAAGGAGTAGTTTAGACCAAAGACCAGGAGTTTTCTTCGTTTTCCAGGTCTCCACTTTCACATCTCAGTTGTGTGCCAGAGCAGAACTACATTTCATAGACTGGCCCTCTGTCAACTCAAAAAGATTCCTTCCAAATGAAGACATTGGAGTCCAAGCAGAAGACCTCCAGTTGTGTGCCGTCTACGTCCAGGACATTTGTGGTTTAGCACCATTAGAAACAGACAATGACTTATCAGCACTTTTCAGCGTATGGTCCTATACAGCTTAATGTCGTTTGCCTCGGTACAAAAAGGTTTTTTGCTCATTTTCTTCAAATCATGCAACAAATACAACATTAAGAAAGCCTACACTTATTTGAAGTCAAGGTGGGGGGAAAAGTAACACTTGCACTAAAGTATTTCTGTAAAATAATCAAATGTATTCTAAAACAAGAGCTTGACCTTGTCTTCAGCTGGATGTCCTTGCCGATTCGATTCCCGTTTCGTTTGCGGACCGCAATAGTACTAACCCAGGTGAAAAAGTGCATTTATTGTGAGATTTGCTCAATAGTCAATGTAAGATTGTTCACCCATCTAGCAACGCTCCCCCCCGGAACTCCCGCCACAGTCCGCGAGAGTGACGTCACAGTGGAGCGGCGTGCGCCAGCACTCCGGAGCCTGAGCACGAGCTCCTGCGAGGGCAGGTCCTGGCCCAGCAGCCCCGGTGCCGGTGCGGGTCCAGCGGGCGGGAGCTGGCGGCCGCTGGGACGGTCTCTCCGGGCCCTCGCCCCCGCAGGCCCGTCAGTCCACGATGAAGTGTACGAACGTCACGGGGAAAGCGCCCCGCCTCTTGGGCTCGCCTTCGATGTGGCCCAGCTGTTCGGAACGACAAGGGGGTGGGGTGGGGAGAGGGAGATCAGCTGTGGCAGTCGGAGAAAAGAGTGGGTTTGCAACCTGGTGTGTGACCTGGTGTTTGACCTCATAAAATCATGAGTAGGGGTGTTACCCCGGTGTCCTGCCCTTTACCAATTATGGCCTCCTAATAATCCCCATCTCTGAACTGGCCTCATCACTCTGTTCTTCTCCCCACTGAGAGCTGGTGTGTGGTGAGTGTACTGGCGCACTATGGCTGCTGTCGCATCATCCAGGTAGGGCTGCACACTGGTGGTGGTGGAGGGGGGGGGGGTCCCCATTACCTGTACAGAACTTTGAGTGGAGTGTCCAGAAAAGCGCTATTTAAGTGTAAGGAATTATTACTTTATTATTAAATTGGTGCCCTCTTGAGGGAATGGAGGCACAGCCTAGGAAACAGCCTTGAACCTTCAGCCCTTTAAACAGGCGAGAGGGAGACATCATTATCCAAGAAATCTGTCACCGGACTCTACGGCTCCACATCCTGAACTACACAGACAGGGAATCCAGGCTTCTCACAGAAGAGCCCCTTTTCTTCCTGATCCTTTGTTTTTGCCATCACTTGCAATTGGTATTTGTGGTTGCAGGAATGGCGAATGACAATGACGCTTAGGTAAAGAAACTGGCAACACTTTAGGAGTTGCAAATTATATCCAATTATACATTCTTTAAAAAAAAACTTGAGATGGGACAAATGGTGTCACACCTTCTTCTTCTTTTTCACAGCCTTAGTCCCAGACTGTCCTGGGGTCAGCTGCTTTGGTTGCTCTTCTCCACTTGTCTCTGTCGAGCACATCTTCCTCACTCACTTCACATACCTCCATATCTTTTCTCACACATTCTATCCATCTCTTTCTAGGCCTGCCTCTTCCCCTATGGGAATGGTGTCACACCATTGGAAGTATTTTAACATACCGTCTCGGTTGTTTGTGTGGCAACAACAGTACCCTTCATTTTAACAGGCTGGGAAAATTAGTGAGGATAAGCAATGAAATCAACCAAATGTCTTCTACAGAGTGTTGAAATGAAGACTAAGAGCATTATGGAGTGTGTGTCTCACCCCTTCCGTTGTGAATCTACACTGTTCCCATCTGGGAGATGCCTCAGTGTTCTCAAGAAATCTTTCATCCCCTCTGCAGTCTCGCTCTCAGAATGTAAAGTCACCTAAGACACTGCTGTACCACTCTGCCTTAAAACAAATTTCCCCTTGGGGATCACGAAGCTTGAATGGAATAACCTGCATATAACAGCATCAATAGAGTGTTAATAACATACTAGTAACTGGTCTATATAAAAACTAGTTACGTGCTAAATCACAAAATGTTGTTCTCATTCATGTTTGACCTTAGTTTGGTGTAACAGCAGTCCAGCACAAGAGGCCATGGTGGAACTCGAAACTTGAAAAGAACCATAACATACTGTACGTAATGAGCTCAGTAGTATTAAACAAGATCACGGGGGGGAAATGAGTATTGGAAGAGGAATGGTAACTCAAAACAAGAGGGCTTGGAATCGTATCCGATGAACTTCCTTTGAGAATAAGGAGCGAAGCACGGTCCATGTTTTGCGCTCGCAGATTTTGAAAAAGACTTCAGGGAAAAACGTGTCGCGGCTGGTCCCACTCGGAAAACGCATCCCGCACAGGAAGGAAGGAGGGAAGGCGGAAAGAGTGCCGGGACTCCAGGCCCTCGGACGAGCTGCGTTTCTTCCCACCGGCTTCCAGGGCCAGCCTGCCTCCCGATCCGCACCAGCGCACTTACCCACCACTCCTGGTCTTCCTCTCCGTCAACCACGATCACCTCCCCCTCCGAGAACGTCAGCTCGTCGGGGTTGTCAGCGACACAGTTATAAATAGCTTTCACCCTCTTGGGCTTGTGTTTCTGGGGGAGGAGAGAGAGGGAGACCAATACAATTCAGGCCCTGTCTTACGATCTCTTTTTCCCCAGCTTCACTCTCTTCTCCTCTTCCCTGGTTTCAAAAGGCAAACAGTTGGGCTGAACAGGAGTTTCACAGTCCTGAGGCCCTTTTGTCACAAGTTACGAAAAATCATTACAATGCCGGTCTTCGGATAAACTGTCTTTACAAACCTAGAACTGTTTCAATGACCATGAAAAACTCACTAAAATGAACAGCAGGTCAAATGCTGGAAAAAAGCACCTGGAGAATTGCTTTTGCCTCCATTTTAACATTTATTTAAAAAATATGAATCGCCAATTACATTTTGTTATACCCACCAGATTGGGAATAGCCAATTACTTGCGTTTCACATCTTGGCTCGTGGTCACAAACACTGCATCCGCACACGGGGGAGAATGAGGAGGTGTGGGCAGACTCCTCTGACTCTCCTGCCTTCGAGCGTCTCGTCTATTAACACACCACAGGCCACATGGCCCCATACAGTGCCGACTGGAGGAGAGGCGCGTCCCTCGTTCACAGCAACGCAGGCGGTGTACGCGCCTAGCAGGCTGAGAACCTATTG